CAACAACACAGCAGCTAATTATTCACTAGTTTCCATAAAACGCATGCTCTGCAAATTCCTCTCTCAGTTTCATAATGATTTGTGTGTGGAGTGCTGGGGGTTGAATTTGCGGCCTTGTCCATGCTGGGAAGCACTCTGTCAATGAGCTACATCCCGAGGCATGTGTGCTGGAAACACTTGTGCCTGAACCCCAAGGTGGTCTCTGTTTTCTCATGCCTCCCCCTTGGCTGATTTTGATAGATATTAAGGGTTGTCAGGATTCTGTTTCTGATAGCAAGGAACAGTGACTGATTTGCTGCTGTGTGGCAAATGAACTTTGTGTGCCAATCTTACAGTGAATTTCAAAGGCTCTATTGATGGCCAGGGTTTTTATGCAGACAATCATTTCCCCCCTCTCAATGAAAACAGAGGAGGAAAAATGTCACTTCTTTACAGGCACCACTTTACTGTTCTGGTTTGGATGGACGTAAATAGAACGTCTTAAGAGGAATGGACCCACTTTGTATTCTCTCGGGTAATTTCTCCAAACTCCTTCTTTTCAAAATCAAGCTTGGATGAATCTTGGATTGCTAAGAGTCTAAGGCTGGGTTTCAAAGGTGAACTTGAAACCTGGCTTGTCTGATGATTAAAAGAAAGGTCACATACTTTGATATATAACTGCTAGAGAACCAGAGTAAACTTGTCTCAACAAAAATAGATGTATCCACCACAGGCATACCTGGCCATCTCCTAGTCAAGATATCCAGAAGGCGAGTCACCAAAATGTCTCTCTTGTCATTATTTTCTCTGTCTTAAGCCCCACATGTGTGTAGGTAAAGTATGCCCATTATTATTATTATATTTTTAGATTTCTTCTTGATAATTCTACCCAACAACCCTGTGGTTTACCTCATTTTCATCCCACATTCTCCCCTCTCCAACACTTCCAGTGCCCGCTCTCCCATCCCTCAGATCCTTTGCTAGAACAGGCAGACTGTGTGATCACATGTTTATTACTGAACAGCACTTCAGCAGAATGTGCTGGGCATCATGGGCAATCCAGTAAGAGATTACAACCCCAGGGAAACCCTTATCAGAAAGCCAAATATCTATTCCCTCAGGCTAAAATGAGTCAGTTTACCTTCAAGTGGGAAGCATCAAGGTACTGCTTGTCATCCAAAGCTTGTCCTCGGTTTACCTGGTAATTTGGGAGCTCATCTGTCATATTTTTACTCAAAATATAAGTATCTTTAGGAAGTAGTGTTACACCGCAGAGCCAGGTGCCCACTGAAGGCAGCACCTGCTAAACATCGGGTGTTTATTTACTCTGAGTGCTAGGAAAAAAGACACACACACACACACACACACACACACACACACACACACACGGAGAGAGGGGGGCAGTTAATTGGATGTTAGCACTTTGAGAAAAGATGAACAAAGCCTCAGAAAAGACATGCTGGGGTTTCACAAAATTCTCATCTAATTCCTGAAGGGATTTCTAGACAATTCAAAGAGTAAGGAGAGTACTGTTGACAAATTTTCTAAAATACACACCTCAGGAAAAAGGAAAGGATAGGAATATGTTCCCTTGTGTTCAATAGGGTGGGTGAGGATTGCATTTTAAATTTCCATTTGTCTTTAGATTTTGTTGGAAAGTCATAGAACTGGAATCTTAGAGACTCTTTCAATTAGGCAACAACAGAAAAAAAAAAAGAAAGAAAGAAAAGAAAAGAAAAAGGTCCCATTTGTTTTTCTCTTCTAAGACTTTGGGTGAATTTACTATAGGAGGCACAGACCTGACACTCTATAGGTGATTTCTCCAAAGGCTTTTTTTTTAAAAAAAAAATAATTAATTTATTTATTACAATTTATTCACTTTGTATCCCCACTACAGCCCCCTCCCTTGTCTCCTCCCAGTCCCAGCCACCCTCCCTCTTCTCCCCCTATGCCCTTACCCTAGTCCCCTGTTAGAGGAGGGCCTCCTCGCCTTCTAATTGACCCTTGTCTATCAGGTCTCATCAAGGCTGGCTGCATCATCTTCCTCTGTGACCTGGAAAGGCTGCACCCTCCAGGGGAAGATGATCAAAGAGCCTGTCACTGAGTTCATGACAGAGACAGCCCCTGTACCCCTTATTAGGGAACCCACTTGAAAACTGAGCAGCCTATGGGCTTCCTCTGAACAAGGGGCCTAGGTCCTCTCCATGCATGGTCCTTGGCTACTTAGCAGATGATTTCGATAAACTGCACTGTAGTGATTTGTGAGCTGAGCAGGCACCAAGCACTGGAACAGAATATCTGGGACTGTGGAGTTACAGACTGCAAAACCAGGCCCCACAATGAATTCATGGCTTCTTTTTGTTCTGACATGGAACTAATTTTCAAAACAACAATAACAACAAAAAACCAAGCAGTAAGGCCAAGCTTAATAACTATTTGGATCATGGATAGTCTAGAGAACAGTAGTTTTGGAACCAGATTGAATATTGAGCTTTCAGTGCCCATTATATAGTACCTTGATCTCTGGCATGCTATATATCAGTGGTTCTCAACCTGTGGGTCGAGACCCCTTTGGGTCTCATATCAGATATTTACATTACAATTAATAACAATATCACAATTATAGTTATGAAGTAACAACGAAATAATTTTATGCTTGCAGGTCACCATAACATGAGGAACTGCACTAAAGAGTCACAGCATTAGGAAGGTTGAACACCACTGCTATGTAGAAGGAGAACCCAATTACTAAAGGCTTTATAGGCTTTGGTCTATGGATAATAAACTGTAATACTGTGTCTCATGTCCTCACATCAAGGTGAACAGCTATAAATATATGCAAATGACTCATGATTAATGGGAGAAAATTATTTATTGTTACCGTGTGTGCATTTCTGGGAAGTCGTTTCGAATTCTAATGTGTGAGATCTGATTCTATATTTTCAAGAGGAATTATGCAAATCACGTTGTCTTTATTTTGCAGGAAAGTCTATGTGTATTTACATTAAAGGAGAGCAAAAACCTGTTTACATTGCCCATTCTTAAAAGAAAATGCTTTTTGCAGCATTGGCTTAGAGTTTCACAGGCTACACTCACTTCTTAACCAAAGTCAGCCACAGAGAGAAGCAACTGGAGCAAGATTCCTTTCAGAATTATGATTTTTAGGTGTATTAAGTTCTTTCTTATAGTTTCTTACAGCTTAAGTAAGTGTGTTGTTCTTTTGGCAATAAAACTCTGGGTCCGTGATTCCAGAATGTCAGTTTGAAGATAAGGACATTTTATTGATTTACTTAATTGTCTTCATCTTCCTTAAGAGTTTACTTTTGTCCCTTTCATGCTTAGCCCTTTAACTATATTGAGATTGGCAAAGCAATGTAGAAACTTCAGAATGCATCTAAAATGATGGCTCTACCTGTCACAGTGTCATGTATCATTTCTAACCAGACACTGAATTGTGGTGTCAAACACAATTTTCTTTTCCCAGCATCATCGAAGGGTGATAATGAGCACGGGGCTGACATGATTGTACTATTTCAGCCTCTTCAATCATGTACAAAACTACAGCATACCAGGTTTGGAAAGAAACTGAAAGGCCACGTGATATATAATATTTTATTTAATGTATACATATGTAATATATACACCTTTGAGGTGTCAGAACGTAGACCATACTCAATATTTGCTTTGGTGTGACTAACTTATGACTAACAATGAAAACAAGTAGAAACACTGATTAAACTAAGTTTGGGCATGGAATAGAGTGGCCTTACATGTGGCATTTAATCTTCTTGGACTTTAATTTCGTTCACTGCAAAATGGCATGAAGACCTCAGTACAGATATGAATATGTTGTTTGGCATATCTAAGTCATAACATTTAATAAATGCAAGCCAACGATGATTAAAAAAATCATTTGTCATATTAACTACCACATGCTAATACATTGAGGAAAATTTGATTAAGATAGTTTTTATTTGTTAGCAATATAAAGGATATATAATTTAGTCATTTCCTCAGAGTATCTCAGTGAGTGCTCTGCTTATCTCATGGATAATGACAGTCTATGGCTGGACCCTTCAGAGCTGCACAGAGCTACCCATCTGCCTTTTCTTCCGTCCTTCTTCCACTCTACATATCATACAGGATGCAGAAGGTATACACTTTCACAATGCTACTAGATTTTCTTGAGCCCTTTCACTATGACCCATCTTGTAGCCAGCTCTAAGCCATGGGTGTTTTTGGGGCCAATGTTCCTGCCTATGATCTAACCATGTAAAGCTGAAAGAGATGCCCACGGAAAAGCAACTAGCTTCGTTTATTCTCCAATGGCCATGTTGGATTGTCTCATCCTCATTCATGAGTTAACACCTGGAAATAGAATGTTCTAGTAATTTCCTCCTTTCTCATTGTATCACAGTGTTCTATCAGACTATGTTTTAGAAATTAATTTCTTCCCATCTCATCTCTGATGCTTTCTTTTGTCCACTTGGACTTCACTCCTGCAAAGATCCATCTTCATTAGTCAAGTTTATCTTATCTGTTCCAGACAGTCTCACTGTATCAACTGGCAACAAACAGATGTAAACAAATAAAGACATTTTGTAACTGCTTCTCTACTGCATAGCAACATTATAAGGCTTAGAAAAATCAATGTATAAAGATAAGCTCTTTGCTGTCTCTGTTTTATGCCATGGTGCATTTTCAAAATCTGGACTTTATTTGAATCCCTGCTCACTTTCCCTTCTTGTTGTAGATATTGCTTGTTAGGGAATGATGCAGGCAATGCTATAAAGACTGACATGATCCAGAAGGGAGGTGGGTTATGGAATTACACTCAGACTGCACCAGCCTGGGAAGCTGGCAGGACTGCTGTGAGACCAGATCTGATCTGCTGAGCCCTCTGGACAAGAGCCTGATGCAGAAAATTTCACATTTGATACTACATCTACAAATGAATGCATAGTTTTTGATGTATTTTCTATATGTCCTCACCTTCATCAATCTGTTCTTTCATTTTGTAGTAATGAAGTTGGAGCAGAAGTGGGAACCAGTCTGCTGAAGAGTTTTGGAACGCCAGTGCTTGATAGATTTAGCTCATGCTTTTTTGGAATGAGTGCTGGGTTGATAAGCTCAGCCCAGCGGGAGCAGTGGGAAGGTCTGCAGCAGCCACATAGCATTAGCACACTCCACAAAGGCCAGAGCAAGATGATAGACCTGTAGCTTCTTGCATTGTGGGTCAGGCCTATAATCCCTACTATTATGTTGACAGCAATACTAACGCTCCCTATATTTAGCAGCCAAATAAAGAACTATAGCTGAATACAAGAACGATTGTGACTGGTTTTTTCAACGTATGCGTTGTTTTGTTTAATGGATACATTGCTAACAGAATCAAACATCATTATCTTTAAGAGTATTTGTGTCTCAGAGGATGATGACTTTTTTTTAGGGTGCATCGGTGAAACTGTAGAGATGAGAAAGGTGATGTTCTTCATAATGCATGCTGATTCCTAAACTGTTAAGGTTCTTACATGCTCTGTGGACTGAGTCCTGGAGAGAGCCCAATATGTGCTGGGGTATCTCCAACAGCGATGTCTTTGCTTATGGCTACATGGTTCTTAAGAAAGCCACCTCACAGGTCACGCTCCCACGGAGCAAACCCTCACTATAATGGCAGCCCCAAGAGACCAGCAGAGTCACAGCTGCTGCCAGCCCTATTGTGTAGGCTTCATTTGTCCCCCACTTGTCTCCCCAGCAGTTGATATAGTATCCTCTAGTGATTTCCTTCTTCTTTCCATCCAGGAAGACCAAGATAACACCCACTAAGGGTCCTCAGCAGCCCCCAGCAGCAGGCTTCAGGTAGCAGAGGGACCTTTGCAAAAATGTTTTTGACTTTCCCTTGGCATGTAGCTCACACTTGCTGAGAGCCAGCTTTCAACTACTGCTTCTTTCTCCCACTGCTTCATCAACCCAGCTAGCGCACTCAAGGGAGGCTCCTATGAAAGAGCAACTGGAATCAGAACACTCCATTATTAACCATCAGATGGCACCTGGAAATATAAACTTATATTTTTCTCTACTGGTATTAGAAATGCAAAGGAGCCTTGGTAAATATCTCTCCTCATCTCCTCTACAAACAGCTACATCATCTCCATGAACCACTCAGTAGGTCTTAGCAGTCTGCTAAGTCTTATTATATACCAGTTACATGTTGTTAAGATGATTTAATTTCACTTAACCTTCATAATGAATGATTTTGTTAGAGTGATAATATCATTACCCTTGTTTTATGTTTACAAAAGTAGGCATATCCAAATGGCTAAATCAAGGCATAAGTGGTAGGGTTAGAAGTCAGGTAATTTGATTCTAATGCCAAGATACTGTCTTAATGCTTCATTCATTCACTCATTCATTCATTTACTTATTCATTCACTTTTTGAGTTGGTCATACTCCTCAGATCGCTCACAAATTTGTTATAAATTTGGGCAAGTCCCTTTCAATATTTAATTATTAATTGATGACTTATTTATGATATTTTCATTTTTCCTTGCATAAGGCATATATTCTTATGTGTTTAATATATACATATGTTTGGAAGATGTGCTTTTGGCATAAGTATTTTAAAAAATGTAAATTATATTGCTTAAACTGCTGCCAGTTTAAGTGTACCCAGTTTTATTCCTACCAGAGGTTCAACAACTGTAAAGACAACTTTTAATATGTAAGGGTGGTTTGGATGTGGAAGTCCACTTATCTTAAGTTTTCAAAGATTTGTGTTATTTGTTTTATGCCGTTGTGACAAAATAACCAAACTTAACAATTTACGAAGGGAGTAAAATTTACTTTCACTTGTGATTTCTGACATTTCAGCCCAATAGCCCCATTGATTCTAGTGCATGGTGAAACAGAATATCATGGTGACAGGTGTGTGCAGAGCAGAATGAGTCTGTCCACTTCCTGGGGGACAGGAAGGATAGGGATAGAAGGGCTAGGCTGTAAGAAAGATATGACTCTTAGTGTGCTAGGAATCAGCTCTTAAAATGTCCAGAAACTCTCAAAATAATGGCATCAGCTGAGAACCAAACATTTAAACATGAGCCCATAGGGGACATGTCATATTCAATACATAAATGTTTAGTGCATTGTATTGTCAAGAAAATATCTTCATTTTACTGGTAAGAACCTTGAACTCCTTTTTTTTTTTTTGACTGAGCCATCATTTTTTATTTGAGCCATCAAATTTGTGAACACTAAATATATCAAGAGGACTTTTCATTCGTACACTATTTCTAAAGAATCACATGCCTCTGAAAATCGTATTCTTTCTTTTTTTTTTTTTAAATCACAGGTCATTCACTTGTATCTCAGCTGTAGTCCCCTCTTTCTTTCCCTCCCAGTCCCACCCTCCTTCCCTCATCTCTTCCCTGCCCCCTTCCAAGTCCACTGATAGGGGAGGTCCTTCTCCCTTTCCATTTGACCCTAGCCTATCAGATATCTTCAGGCCTGGCTGCAATGTCCATTGGCTTAGCATCATATTCTAATGTGTTTTCTTCAGCATCTCAGTGAAGAAGAGAGTGTTACTCCCATGAAGGAAGGGTAAGTATTGGTTTTAGTGAAACATGGAGAATGAGCTGTTTTATAGGCGCCTAGTATAGATTTTGCTGTCCAGAGGAAGTTGGAGAACAGTGGATGTTTCTGAAGAGAAAAGAGGTAAGAGCAGTTCGTGGAGAACTGAAGCTGTGTCTCATCTCAGTTTGGGTTTTCCAAAAGCCAGCTGTAAGTTAACACTTGAATGTAACTAGTTAGTTTCGGCAGTGAGTACCAGAAAAACGTAGCGCTTGCTATACAGGCACTTCCCAAAGTGGGCCACTGGAGCACAGTCCACCAAGGAATTTGGCAATCCAAAGCTGAGTGAACATGCATTAGAATTAGTTAAACTCTGAGAGAAAGAAGGGAGGTCATCATTCTATAGCTTGAATACCAAACTTCTGTCTGTGAGGCCTTCAGACAAACAAACAAACACAACATTTCACTTGGCAAACAGTATGTCTTGTTATTTTATTGTGAAATTGTTCTTTGGAGGAAACGGATAGTCCTTTGAATGGCAGTGTTCATCCCAGTGTCTGAAGTAAAGAACAAGAAGAGACAACGAGCCCTTAAACAAGGGACTATTCTCGCTTTAGTGCCCCGGCAAGCAAAAACTCCTGCAGGTAGCAAAAATGTTTCTTTAACTAGACTTCTGTGGATTCCCACTTTTGAAAGCATCTTCTATTGCAAACTAAATCTCAATCAGTGAGAGGATGACTTTGTTAGAAAGTAAGCTTGTTTGCTTTGATTAAGCCCAGAGAATTTAGACTTATAACTCAAGCAAATATTTTTCAATTTGTTGGAGACATGTTACATTTGGAAAATTTCCTTCATTTTCTGTGGTATATTATAAAATTTACTACTATATTGCCCTGAAGTTTTGAACGCTCAGTTTGTTTGACAAGAATTAAATCTTCTTTACTGTACATTTAAAGAGTATATGTTGATACATTTTAAATGAAAGTTTTATAATGTGCTTTTGAAATGTTCTTGCAATTTCTCAGCACACTTAAACACCTGAGCCTAAATTTTTTATTGGCTAAAAAACTCTGGAGGCTAAAACAAAAATTACACAAGAGGCAGGGGAAAGCTTCACAAATAATGAAATAAAAACATGAAGAAAAGAGAGTAAAAAATTTCCAGGGTTGCAGATTACAACTAAAATATATGAGCAAAATCTCTACTCTAAGAAGAAGAATAGGCTCAAGCTACTGGGAGAAAGACATCCTTGCCATGCCAGATCGCGAAGCCCAGGCATGATGTGGAAGAGTTCATGTGCTTTGGATAGAACAGGAGATGAAGCCTCAGGAAGCTTGGGAAGTCTTTCCAAACTTGAACTGAGTTAAATCGTTAAATCAGGAGTCCACAGATATTTGCCAATTCTGCTTTTGGGTCTTAGTTGAGCATTTATCTAAACAAATACTATATTACATAAAAGGAACATGAATGGTGGAGAAGTTAAAATGGATAGTTTTTGTTTTCTAATAAACATAGTTTATGACAAATTGTTTATTTAAGCTACTTCACATCAGTGAAAAATGTGACTAAGGGACTTCAGAGAGGAATCTGTGGGGAACCTGTCTGCTCCGGTCTTACTGCAGGTTCCTAATACCTAAAGGCCCGGAGCACTGTTTGCAACCTCAGGTGAAGAACACAAAGGCAGATCCAAGGAGCTTGTTTTCAGCCAGAGAAGCCAGTTGGTGAACTGTCTGTTCAGTAAGTCCCTGTTTCAAAGGAAAAAGTAGATGAAGATTGAAACCAGTGTTCGGTGCCTCCAAGCACAACACAAAGGTGAAAGCACAACACAAAGGTGAATGCACAACTACACATCTTTACATCATTGTCTGGTTTTCTTGATACAGTGTGTGTGTGTGTGTGTGTGTGTGTGTGTGTGTGTCTGGGTGTGTAATAATAAACAACAAACAAATAATAAAGACTATATATTAGACTACTCTCTGAATTATCTTAGTCTAGTCCTGGCTGATAACACATTAAAATAGGTCCAGCAGGATTTGTGAGAGTACACAAGCAAGAAGTCAGGTTTTGTTGGTTTTATCATGCTAAATGATAATGCCAAGGGGGAGGGGAGAAAAACAAAAAACAAAAACATCAGCTTCCCAATATTTTTATCCTACCCAATGAGGGAAAAAACCCTGATCCTCTGGAGTGTCACTAGCCATAGATTTTAGCCCATTATTTCCCAGCGAAGCCAAACAGACTGAGCGTTGTGCTAGGACTCAGTACTGCGGGACTGACTTCTGTATTTCTTACTGAAGAGCAATCTTACAAACAAGCGCCTTTTCATCTTTCCCTGCCACATGCCCTCTGTACAGGTGTATCATTGCTAGTTATTAAACAGAGATGAAAGCCAGAGCCTGTCTACCAGCTGAGACAGGCTTGAGCCTTTTATTTCTCAGGTTAAAAGTTCAAGTCTCCACTTGAGCAATCAGCGGGAAATCTCAATGGCTATGTCTTGGCAGTGCACTCTGTTCCCTGAGAAGCGGTCTGTGCGCAAGATGAAACAGTCCTTTGAGAGCTAAGTTCTCCTGGGTTGTCTGGATGGACGCCACGCTACTCAATCTGTTCTTCTCAAATTAACAAAATCTGTGGCAGCGTGGCGTGCCTCTTCAACTGCGGACATAGCTCTGCCCCTTTGTGTTCTTTTTGTAAAAGTTCCCCTTTGGCACTCTGTCGCCACGGAGGAAGTTTTAGGTGTCCTTCGAG